AGACAATCCTCACACCATCTCACACAAATGGCTGTCCAACTTTGGTTGAAAACCTGCAGTGATGGAGTCCTCACAACTCCAGGGGACAGCCTGTTTCAGTGCTTAATAAGTCTCATGATCAGGAAATTCCTCTTTGTTTCAAATTTGGATCTCCTTCTGTAAAGCCCACTCTTGGGAGAATACATTCACGCCCTTTTCCCTGTGACGGTACTTAAAGTATTGGGAGACTGCTATTATGTCTCCCCACTGAAGTTTATGGGGAGACAGATAGCAGTCTTTGTATACTTAAAGGGCTGTCACAGGGAAGAGGGTGTGGATTATGTACCACATTTTTCACTTAGCAAATAAGAAAAAAATGCAATCCTTTCTTCATTTCATCTGACAGTTCACAGACTCCACCTGCTTTCATCAGAAGCCCTTTTATGATCCTTGACACCCTGGGAAGCATCCTTGGACTGAAGGACACATAGGGACATGGCCTCAACAGTGAAACCACATTACAGCTGTTCCAGCCATTTGTCCTGATGTGCCTCTTCCAAAACCTAGAGCCCCTGAAGTACAACTCTCATCAACCCCAGTGAGCACGATGAATAGCAACAATTGTAGTTCAACACATCTGACAGAATGGGGGACGTCATCCCAAGAAGCCAGCATCATAAGTGGGATAGGCACACTATTTCTAGCAGTGTTCATTTCAGATATGCAAAATTTGTCAATCTGGAAATGAATTATTCCAGAGAATTCCAAAAAATTCCATTTCCTTCTGGGCCATGCCAAAATTCCTCCAATCCATGTCATTTTGTGGGAGGGGGTAGTTCAGAACTTTCTAGAAGTAAATCTGCCAAACCAGAAGCAATTTGATCCAAAAATTCAGGGTAGGGAAATGGAACATTCTGGAGTGTTCCAGAATGGTCTATCCCCAGTTTGGCCAATGTGGCACATCTTCAGTGTTTATCCCACAGCACTGCCTATCAGAAGGGCTAATAATTTTTTTATCTGACAAAGAAACCTTGCAAAAACCTTCCGCTCTCATCTCCATTTTACAGACCGGAAAACTGGGAGGCATGAACAGGGCATGAAAGCCGAATGACCCAATAAGTGCAATGGCAGGGCTTGGGAACCAGGTCTCCTTTGGGAGACATAATTTGTGCTAGGTAATGCGGCCGTGGGAATGACAGGCCATCCACTTCCGCCCCCTCCCTGGAAGGCAGCAGCCCTAATTTTATAGAAATAGCTCACCTGTGGGATCAGGTGGCAGGCTGGCTAAGTAGCTGCCCATTCCCCATCTGGGTGTGACGGGAGACGAACAATCTCTGGAATGCAGTTGGTCTGCGGAGATGAATGAAGCACAGCTAACTTCCCTCTACTGGAGGGAAATCACTCCACACAGCCACTGACACAACTTCGGTTCATCTCGCCTGGTATGCATTAATTAGCCTCTGCAACCGAGTTTCAAAACAGGTAAGCTTCTGTTCCCAGCAGCTAGTGTTTTGCTTCTGGCCTAACAGCAGTGACAGCTAAAGAACACAACTGGACACAAACAACCTCTTCTGTGCATGGTCCTGGAACAAATGAGGTTGTATAATACAAAGAACTTTGCTGGAGGACGCCATACCTAAGCCTCCAAAATATCATACTTGGCATAGCCTGATACAATAGAATAAAAAGATGGTAACTATAGTGTCCATCTTCCTTCCCATGCTAATGACAGGGAGAGAATATAGACCAGTGTTTCTCAACCTTGGGAACTTTAAGATGCGTTCTTTAAGCCAGGAATTCTGGGAGTTGAAGTCCACATGTCTTAAAGTTCCCAAGGTTGAGAAACACTGATAAAGATAGAGTTGCCTTTATAGAGATCTGGTCTCTATAAAATGATGGAATCCTAAATCAGAACTATGGAACAAGGCAGAAGACACAATTTTTAAACAGCACCTTGGGTTAAAACACACAGATAGAAATTCCGTGTAAGTGGAGAACACACCAAGAAGTTTGTTCTTGCTATGCTGCTATTATGTGTGAAAGCATATTTTAATGCAAGAAAACAATGCATTTTCGCTTACAGCCTGGTGGCGTAATTTGTTTCACTATCTCATTCTCATAAAAGAGTACGTTAAAGGACAGAGAGCAGGTGGGCGCTAGAGGAATCAAGGTGTTTTTCTGTTTGCCTACAACTGTAGAAGCTACAGATGAAATTTATTTATTTGACATCTGAATGCAACCTTAGTTCATTTTGCATTTTCAAACCAATAGAGTAATATTTAAAATGTGCATTAAAGAGAAGCTTGCAGAAAAATATATATATTCATGAAATAATGAACCATATGGGATCTATTTGGGAAGACAAGAGTAGTATACATTAGGCAAAATTTGCAAGTAAAATGAAGAAATGTGCATAAAAATGCATACAGATTTTAGTGTGGTCTTTAAAAAAGATCAGGTTTGATTTTCCAAACTTGACACATTTGCAGATCAAGAAACTGACAAAAATGAACTTGAATGATCTGCACCTGTTGCTTTCACTTTTCTCTAGGAACCAAGACTGCTGTTATGGGAGATAAGGTATGAATGCTTAGATATTTGGGGACAAGTTTCACACCCAGCCCAAACCTTGAGTGTGAGAATAAAGTGGGATCACACCCAGGATCAAGAATTATGGCTAAATCTTAGTGTCACCATAGAATCATCGGGCTGGAATAGAGATCTTAGAGTCCAACCTCCTGACCAGGACAGGAATCCTTATTTGATCACCCCAGACAAAGGATTCTCCAATCTTTGCTTTATAAACTCCAGTGATAGAGAATCCATGACTCCAGGAGGCAGGCTATTTCTCTGCTTAATATCTCTCACAGTAGGAAATTCTTCCTTATTTCTAGTTTGGATCTCCCTCTGTATGGCGTCCCCCCACTGGTTCTTGTCCTACCTTTGGGAGCTACGGAAAATAAATTCATAGTCTCTTACAGACTTTCAATATTTGATGAATGCTACCAGGGAAGATGGCATGTCCAGACAGAGCAAACTTCATTTATTTATATCATCTCAGGGCAAATGTCTAGGGCAAGTCCTACCAAGGAAGCTCATGTTTACAATTAAAAATACAAAAAAAAAACACCCAACTTGTCTTTTACAATTACTGTATTAAATAAAAGCAGTAACTGAAACAATGATATAGGCCAGTATAACAAACAAAACACTTAAAATAGAGCAGCACAAGCCTCTTTGCTGTCAATTCAATATTATCATCAAAAGCAGATCAAACCCAAAAAAAGGTTGTCAGGGTCCATTTAAAAGCTGATAAAAATATTTATATCTGAGATGGGAGTTTCACTGATAAGTTATCAATGTGAAGATGCTCCGTGCCTAGTCCCTGTCAAATTAACTTAACATTATGCCAAGTTTGCAAGCAGGGCCTCTAAGGCTGATACGGAGTTGTGGGCTTCTTCCAAGATTCAGTCTAATGGTCCACTGGAGCATCTTTTGCACCTTATAAATGATGCAGGTCTGGGAAAGCTGTGTAATGAATGGAATGAACCTCCAGAATCACCAAGTTATAGAAATGGAATGAACTACGGTATGTCCTCATTGCCTATAATTAGTTAAAAAGTCTTGCTTTTATAGTATACCAGGGGATACTTTTCGGTTACAGCATTTCCATATGAAAGCTGCTGAAAACAGTAGATTGGACGATGGTGGTGGGTAATGCTACTTTTAGTACCCGCCCCCCGCAAAAATTAGGCATCACCTTAGAAACAGACTTCCTTCCTTTTGGCACCATGAAGCTTTACTAATACAGTGGACTTCAGACTCCTTGCGCTGTAAGGTCATAATGTTCTGACTACTTCCTTTCAGTCTGGGATGGCCATAAAATCACTAAAAGTTGTTATATTCGGCCAAAGTCCAAGAGGCCAAATCTCAATGCTCCACTTCATTCTTTGGAGGCCTGTTATTATGTTTGAACTGTTAGAAAATAATTGAAAGAAAGTGGACAAATTATAGCTTGCATTGAACAATGGCCATTTCCTGATGGAGCTGAAGAATGATTGCTTAATTTATTTTCAGTTTCCAGCTAATACCAACTTATTTGAGACCTTGTAAATGCAAAGTGCAAAGAAACTATTATGAAGGTAGACAATCTAGTTAACTTACTGATGTTCTAAGGACATGGTTGAAACAGGTGAGAATTCTAGTTCAAAACATCTGGAAGGCACTAAATGGGCTACTCCTGACTTACACCTTTGTCAACCAGAAACTTGATACATAACTGACATGAATTTGGAAGACTGGCTTGGATCTGACCATGTGGGCAACCCAGGGGTTAGAACCATGTTTCCCAACTCTGTTTTGAGATACTAAAAACCCTACAACCTCTGCATGAAAAACAAGGATTCTACTGCTAAGCAATTACCCCCAAATAATCTGTTTCACAGAAAATCAGATCATAGATCCATCTTGTTCAGTATTGCTAGTAATAACTTCGCAAGATTTCACACGGCTGTCTTTCCCAACCCAGCTTGACGATGCTAAAGATTAGGGCTGGGATCTTTTTCATGCAAAGTAGATGTTCTCCCACAAGATTTACCTAGCATGCAGGAAAACTGCCTGTTCTCAGAGACAGGAGACAGCGCCAGAGCTGAATGAGATCATTGCTCAATTACTGTCTATACTGACTGGTAAAAGTAGGGTTTCAGCCAGGTATTTTTCTGATGTATAGCTGGAGATACCAGTGACTGAAGTTGAGTTTTGTGTGTGAAAAGCAGGCCCTTTACCACTGGGCTAATTGTCCATCCCCATTTGTAATACCATCTACATCAAGTGGTTGACCAGAGCTTTATATTTCCTTGGAAATGCTGGAGACTGAACCTATGATAAAACAGATGATCTCCTCCTGAGCCATACACCTCTCCAGAATTCCTCACCCTCTTCTTCATTCCAAAAGCTCATGTGTCGCCTGACCAGCTCCTCCAGCTGCAGAGCACATCTTATTCCCTCTGCAAAGCTCTTACCTGTTCAGTGATGAAGGAGCTGGAGAAGGTAATGGCTGACCAGAAGAAGATCCCACAGCTAAGAATAATCTTCCTGTTGAAACGGTCACCAAGGTAGCCAAATATTGGGGCTGCCACCATAAAGCTACAGATGAAAACTGCAGAAGAATAGAAAGGAAGAGATGGATTGGGTCAGCAATTCCCAAACATTTGAAACTTGGTTGGGAAAGTCCAAAACCAAGTATATAAACCATCTATATCAGGTTTCCCTAACCTGGTACTTTCCAGATGCATTGGGAATGCGACTCCCAGCATAGCCATCTGGGGGCCAGCAATTTGGGAAATGTTGATCTGTGCCAAGAATGAGCATGCATTGGTGGGTGATATGACAAGAGTTTGGTTTTACTTCTTGAGATAGACATTGATTAGAGCTTTCAAAATCATGACAGGTTCTGCTCTTCCATTCAAACAGGCCGTGAATACTTCAGATGCTGGAGATGCTATTCATAACTCAAAGGAAAATGTCGTTTCCTTATTCATGGTCAGATTTAAACAGTATTCATATATTTTACCTATTACAGTATTTATTCATTATGTTTACAAGTCACCTTTCCTTAAGGCCTCCTATGTAGCACTCCCTCCTCCAATGTCTCCAACAATTCCTAGAGGCATGGTTGGTCTAAGAAATAGTAACAGTGTAAAAGTGAGCACAGCATGGACTTAAACCTGAGTTTCCCTAATCCTAGTCCAATACCTTAGTCATGACAGCACTGAAAATGGATACTCACAATAGTTGTATACCTTATACTCACTGTTGGCTAAAAAGAGGCTGTGTTTTACTATGCAATCACTGTTAAATATATTTTCTATTCTTTGTAGATCTGGAAGTCACTTTTTTAATTAGATGGTTTGTTGATGTGCAACAAAAGAAGAGGCAACACAGAGATTTTAAGGATGGAGGTGGCACAATTACAGAAACAAAGGAAAGAGTTTGAGAACAAAAGAATAAATGAAGTGACAAAACAAAATGCTGGCAGAACCCAGATGGCAGCATCAAAATATCAGTTCTGAGTTGTAAAAAGTTCAGACAGTGACTATCAGCCTGCCAGAAAGACCATATGCTAGTTATGAGGTCCACAGATAGCCCAAAAGTCTTGGAGGGAGGAGGCCGAAGAACTGGGGTGCGTGCTTGTTTGAGATAGCCTGGCCCATACCATTTAACCAGAAAAAAATGAGGAGTGGTGGTAGAGGGAAATTGGAGGGAGGGGAGAAGGTACAAGCCTGCCATCTAGTCTAATTAGGCAGAAATCAATTTCTGTAACCATACAAGTAGTCCTGATTTAGCAACCACAATTGGGAACCAGCAACTTGGTTGTTAAGCAAAGTGGTTGCTAAGTGAAACCGCGGCTGTGCTTACAATCTTACTTCAGCTTTCCTTTGCTTTACAGACCTGTGAACATCATAAATCCAAGGACTGGTCACAAAGTTACTTTTTCATCACTGTCATAACTGCGAATGGTCACTAAATGAGGCAGTTGCTAAATGAGGACTACACGGTAGATGAAGTTCCTGAGCTACAGTGACAGCCACGTATCCATATTCATATCATTCTTATTCACCTGGTTTTTGTTCAGGGGAACACAGGTGTGATAGGCAGGGCCAATGCAGCTATGTGATCAAAAGGACTGGTAGATGTCTAGTTTGAAAGACTTTGGACCAGGGAGCCCATGGAGGGTTACCTTGGTGATACTGACAGTTCCAGAAATGGCCTCTTCTTCCCACCCTTTCTCTGGACACTTTTGGGAAAAAGATACCTGCTGGTGTCTTAAAGAATGTTTTTAAGAGAGAGAGAGAAAGAGGGAGGGAGGGAGGGGAAGAGGGCTGTTAGAGGATGCTACCTATTGAATAGTGGCTACAGTGGCTGACTGGGAAAACTAGCTGCTAACCAAGCCTTTATATTTGTAGATAAAGGGATTTTCACTGGCTCAACTAATATAATTCACGGCATCTCACTTTCTCCCAGTATATGAACAGTGGATAGACACCAGGACGGGGAGGGCTCAGATTTGCCAGAAAGCAGCTGGTCTAGGACTTTCTGAACATCTTCTTCCAATGACCATGCTTAAAATCACCACTTTCCTCAATGCGAAGAGTTTCTCAGCAGTCTGAAAACTGTTCCACGCCCCCTGAGTAACCCCACTCAGGGCTGGAGAGAGAGAATTACACTAAGCTACCAGTGACCCTACTAAAAATTACTTTCCTCAATGAGAATCTTTGGAGGGGAGGTTTGTATATGCCTTAGGGCTACTAGATGTGGGCTGCAAAAATCCAGATATCGAAGCAAATGTTTAAGCAATTTCTATGCCTCTGGTGGTTGTCTGGATTCTTGCAGTCTAGAATTGACAGCTCACATATGTATATGCATGTGTGTGTAGACAGGTGTGTTTGTGTGACAGTACAGCACATAAATGAATCCATACATGAGTTGAATGTCTGTGGTTCTGGACACACAGAGAAGCTGCTGTTAGAGCCAAAGAAATTATGCATTTCTCCTCTACAATGGCAGGTAAAATTCTCAGTTAAGATGGTCTTCACTAGAGATCTAAGGGAACAAAGCTGGACCTTTCAGCATGCCAAACATGAATTCTACCCATGAGTTATCCCAGCCTTCCCCTCTGCCTTCATCTATTGCCTTCTCAATATAATGCATTCATTTCTTTCTCAGTCCAACCTATTTCACAGGTTTGTTGTGGGGGAAAATAGGAGTGAGCAGAATGTACACCATGAAAGACAGGAAAGAAACGGACCAGAAACAAAATGCAGCTATTGATTGCATACAGAAGGTATCAACTTTAATCCTGAATTATTGGGCCCTGACAATTATTATTTCCCTTCCACATGATCCAACATTCTCAGGTCTATCTATAATTCAGGTTTAACAGCAATGTGTCACCAAAGTTAGCCTTGCAGCACACCCAATGCACATTTTACATTACACAACTTCAGAATGGTGATGACTTTTAGGAAAGGGCCATACATTTCTCTAGCGTCCCTCAAACAACTTGCAAAGGCTACATCTTCTTTTCAGAATGGAAGTCTTTAAGGACAAAAACAGGGAACGAAACAGAGAAGTAACTTCAGTTCAGAAGTTCATTTTGTAGCCTTGCCCCACAAAAGATGATCTCTTTCGGAGACAGGTCACACAGGAACCTTTTTAAAATGGCACCTTTAAAGACTCTGTTTCCTATGCGCAATTGGGTGTGCTTTTGCCGGTTCCAAAATACCAGCCAAAAGGGCAGGTGAATAAAAATAAGTAAAATAACATACGCCCTTCCAATTGAAAGTGACAGCTTTGGAATCATAGTTTGGAATGAAGAATGAACAACACGTCTGTTTCATTGCAATTGTGGTGAAAGAACAGGAAAGGTTTAATTATCCAGACAGGATGGATTTCTCTGTATCTATTTCTGTTTTCAGTGGTCAGACCCACCCTGATACAGGTGGGCTGCTGGTTTTTTTTTCTTTTCCAAATTTCTCCCAGTTATTTTGTGGTGTGGTGTGGGTGGGTGGGTGTGCATGTATGCACATGTGTGTGCTTGGAATTTCTCTTGCACTCTCTTTTTAATTATATGAGACAGTAAAAAAAACAGTTCATCTTCCCCAGGCTTCATGGATTCCTTCACGCACTGCTACCCATGAATGCCGGCTCAGTTTTTTCCACCCTGAGAGATGCCAGTCAACCGGCAACCTAGTTCTGTGTCAGGATATTTAAAGGTGCTCTTGATTTCCTTGACATAAAAATAAAATAAAGCAAAAGGGGGAGAGGGAGCTTGATTTCCACCCCACCCCCAAAAGCAGAAAGGGTTTAAACAGTTAATCATGAAACGTTTTGTGATTTGTGAAGGTTCTCTCAAGACATTAGGATGAAGATTTCCCTCAGGTTTGAGGGAGGCTGAAATTCAAATTCACTCTTGAAATTGTTCTCCTGAATGTGGTTTGGGTTTTAAGAGGTTATCTCACAGCTACTTGTTTGTGGGAATTATACTGAGAATTACTGGGCCTACTCATCAATCCCCAACTGCGTTTCTCAGAAGGTGATCAGGGGCTCTTGATGTGAACATTGGCAAGGGCAGACCAAGCCTCCACTGCTGTGATTGTTAATTCCTTTGCAATCACCTCTCTCTCCCTATCAGGCCTCTTCTAGATGAAAAGGTATCAGGAAATCTGATGCCTCATCTTCCTCCAGCTGTGGATATGCTTCTCTTTCCTGATGAATTGATATTGAAGGAAAGAAAAAGATCCAAGACCGTAGAGAGAAATTTGCCTCTTTGTGTCTTTTTAAGGGTGAGAATAGGCAGCTGTGCAGCTTGGTTCAATATAGCCTTGAACCCTGCAATAACCTGAGGATTATTTTTAAAAAAACCCAATTTTATTGAGTTGTATTGGGAAACCAATTCTCTCTGAAACATGCAAGCCGAAGGAGACTGGAATGAGCAGATGATCAGGACAGCAATGTAAAAGAGAATAATCAGCATGGTCAGAAATACCATCTGGAACACTTTGAATATTCAAGCGTCATTCTCATCTTTCATACCATTGAGCCTCACAGCAATAGTCAACCCTCTGCCCCAAAGTCACAGAGCTGAACCTTTTATTACTTTAGATCTATTTATAACTTTTCAGCCGCCAACAAGCTAACCATTTCTAGAGGAGGAGCTCAATAGCTGGGTCTGACCGAATGCAAAACATAAAAAAGGACATTACAGTCTTATCGAAAACCCAGTTTCATGAAATACATTCAGCAAAGGCAGGGCTTCTTCCCCTCAGGTACCAGTACAATTTAAGGCCTACCCAGAAGATTACATAAATCACATTCAGTCCAAGATTGAGAAGGGAGCTTCTGGCAAACTACCAGTAAAGTTGAGGGGCCCTGAAAGAGTGAATAATGAATGGGTTTATCAGTGGGGGCAGCAGAGCCCTGGTGATTTATGCAGTTTTCTTGGCAACAGTATGGAAGTGGCTTGCCATTGTCTTCTTCCAGGATGTTTTTTTTCAATTCCACAATCTACCCTACAGCTCTGGTATTTCCTGGTGATCTCCCATTTAATTAACCATCTCCAACCCTGTTTATTTTATCAAGATCAGCCAAGGTCACTTAGGAATGC